CTCTTCTTCTGTTCTCTTCTCTCTCTTCCTCTTGCATCTCTATCTATCTCTCTCTCTCACCTCGTCCTGTAGTCCAGTGTTCTCTCTTCTCAGTAGCTGCAGTTCTGTTCTGGCCTGGCTCAGATCTAGCGCCCCCTGTTGCTGGGAGTGCTGTAGTGCACGCTGTAGCCTCTCCTCTTTAGCGCTCCTCTCTCCTGCACCTCCCTCAGTCTCACCTCCAGTCTCTGCACCTCCTCTCTGAGCTCCTGTGTGGCTGAGTGGTCACTGGGAGAACACAGCTAGAGAGAGACACAGCAACACACACATCATAGAGCTGTTATTACCTGGAACAGACAAACAAAGAACAGAAATAGTCCTGAGTTGACAGCGTTGACCATTAGACAAGCGTTTGTGATAAATGCCATTTACTCACAAGTTTACTCCATAAGGACAGCTGGGAAGGAACACAGTCTCTACCACTCGTTGTCTGTCTGTCTGGTATGTTGTCTTGTCTGTCTGTCTGTCTGTCTGTATGCTGTCTGTCTGTTATGTCTGTTCTGTCTGTCTGTCTGTGTTATCTGTATGTCTGTCTGTTGTGTCTGCATGTCTGTCTGTCTGTCTGTCTGTACTGTTGTCTGTTGTCTGTTGTATGTCTGTCTGTCTGTGTGTCTCAGTTGTGTGTTGTCTGTCGTCTGTATGTCTGTCTGTCTGTCTGTTTCTGTCTGTCTGTGGTTGTGTGTCTGTGTATCTGTCGTGTGCTGTTGTATGCTGTTGTATGTATTTGTTGTCTGTCTGTCTGTCTGTCTGGTTGTCGTCTGTCGTGTCTGTCTGTCTGTATGTCTGTCTGTTGCTGTATGTCGTGTCTATGTTGTCTGTATGTCTGTCAGTTGTCTGTCTGTCTGTGTCTGTGTCTGTCTGTCTGTTGTGTACTGTCTGTCTGTCTGTCTGTCTGCTGGCTGTCTGTGTGTCTGTCTGTTATTGTGTCTCTGTCTGTCGTCTGTCGTGTCTGTCTGTCTGTCTGTCTGTGTCTGTCTGTCTGTCTGTTCTGTCTGTCGTTCTGTGTCTGTCTCGTTGTCTGTCTGTCTGTCTGTCTGTCTCCTGTTATCTGTCTGTCTATTTCTTCACTCTCTTCGTTTCTCCCGTCAGTCTATCTATCTATCTGTTCCAGCCTCAGGCTGAAGCAGAGGCATCACTTCTGGATCAGTGGATCTGAGTGGATCCTCCACCCTGCATCTCCCTTTACCAGTGACTACCAGAGCACGCACGCAAGCACGCAACACACACAACACACACAACACACACACACACACACACACACACACACACTGCCTTGCTACAGGGCCATGTTGGAGCCTTGCACACACAGATCAGAACCCATTACACCCAGAAACACAGACTAATTCAGGAGGGGACGGCAGATAGACAGGGAGGCAGATAGACAGGGAGGCAGATAGACAGGGATACAGATAGACAGACTGTCACAACCTAATTCCTGGAGGGCAGATAGACAGGGAGACAGACAGACAGACAGACAGACAGACAGACAGACAGACAGAAAGACAGACAGACAGACATACAGACAAGACAGACAGACAGGCAGACAAGGAGACAAGGAGACAGACCAGACAAAGACAAGGAGACAGACAGACAGACAAGGAGACAAGGAGACAAGGAGACAGACTAAGAAAAGGAGAAGACAGAGGGGGATGGAGCCAGATTGTAGGGAGAAAAGGGACATTCTTTTAAAATCTTTTTATCAGAACCTTGTGCTTGCCTGCAGACCTAGGGGCCCCCTGTGTTACTCTGCTTGACTGTGTCTGTCTGACTGTCTGTCTTCTGTCTTATTGTCTGTCAAATCGGGTCATCTCTCCTAAAATTCAGATAACTACAATAACTAAGGGGGGGAAGAAGAGGGAAAGGAGAGACAGTAGTGGTAGTTAAAAAGGATTGACTGCTCCTTTCAGGACTGTGATTGATACAACATACACAGAAGCCAGTAACCATCTCTGTAGCACTGCTACTGTTTCCTTCCTCTGCAGCTGCTCCCTTTTTCTCTGTACTGTTTCCTTCCTCTGCAGCTCTCCTTCTCTCTCTGCTACTGTTTTCCTTCCTCTGCAGTGCTCCTTCTCTCTCTGCTACTGTTACCTTCCCCTGCAGCTGCTCCTTCTCTCTCTGCTACTGTTACCTTCCTTGCAGCTGCTCCTTTCTCTCTGGTACTGTTACCTTCCCCTGCAGCTGCCCTTCTCTCCTTTCTAGTACCTTCCTTGCATGCTCCTCCTCCTTGCTACGTTACCTTCTCTTTCAGCTGCTTCCTTCTCTCTGTACTGTTCCTTCCTCTGCAGTGCTCCTTCTTTTTCCTACTGTTTTCCCTGCAGCTGCCTCCTTCTCTCTCGTACTGTTACCTTCCCCCGCGCTGCTCCTCTCTTGCTCTGTAACTCCTCTGCAGTGCTCCTTCTCTCTCTGCTTACGTTACCTTCCTCTGCAGCTGCTTTCTCTCCCTATGTACCTCCTCTGCAAACTGCTCCTTCTCTCTTGTACTGTTACCTTCCTTGCAGTGGCTCCTTCTCTCTGTATGTACCTTCCTCTGCAGCTGGCTCTTCTATCCTGCTACTGTACTTCCTGCAGGCTCCTTCTCTTCTGTACTGTTTAAATTCCTCTGCAGCGCCTTCTCTCCTGCTATGTTACCTTCTTGCAGCTGCCTTTCTCTCTGCTCTGTACCTCCTCGCAGTGCTCCATCTCTCTCTGTACTGTTTCCTTCCTCTGCGTGCTCCTCTCTCTCGCTCTGTTACCTTCCTCTGCAGTGCTCCTTTCTCTCTGCTATGTACCTTCCCCTGCAGGCTCCTTTCTTCGCTACGTACTTCTCTGCAGCTGCTCCTTCCTCTTGTACGTTACCTCCTCTGCAGCTGCTCCTTCTCTCTTGCCTAATGTACCTTCCCTGCAGCTGCTCCTTCTCTCTCTGCT